CGCAGTCGCAGACATCTATGAAAAATATAATAATGATTAAAATATTTGAAACGGTGCGTATTGACATTGGAAAAGTTTGATGGGTTGAATAGCTTTTGTGGCCTAAGGCCCAACAAAAAACAGCTACAAATCGTCAATTCGTAGGTTTTTTGTTTTTTTTTAACATTGTTAAGAAAAAAATTATATTTTAATTTCATTTATTCTTTAATATTGAAATCACATATCCGATATAAAAAAATATTAATTAACTACTGTTGAACTACTCGATCAAAAGGTTTGCACAATTAATATTTTTTAATGAAAAAGGTCTAGCACACTATTTTTGTTTTCCTTATTTTTTTAAGATAGAATTTTGATTATACATTAACAAAATATCTTTTGGACGAAAATGTATACGCACCCATTTTTCATGATATGATTTGTGGAAACAATGACGGTGATGCTCAATCTTTTTGGCAACACGTATGGTACTATATAACCAACAACTACCCGGATATTTAAAACGGATTATGAAAACATTTTTTTTACATACCAAATTTTACAAGTCTTCACAAATTCCATTCATGTCCACAAGTTTTTGAAAAATCTTCTCTTCTTTCTAAAATGTCTTTTTTTTTGGGAAAAACTCAGTAACTTTTTTTTACAAATCAAGAGTTTTTTTTACAGTGAGTAAACATCGAGTGTATAAGCGTGATGCCTTATTGGCAAAACTTAGTTGGCGGGTTCTCTCGGCTCCGGAATCACTCTTCTCTAGAGTGATGCAAGGAAAATATTGTCACAACATGCCTTTCTTAAAATGCTCATCCCCTTCCAACTCCTCGCATGGTTGGAGAGGGATATTAGCAGGCCGAAAAGTTTTACAAAAAGGTCTCGGATGGTTGGTAGGTGACAGAGAATCAATAAAGGTTTGGGAGGACCCGTGGTTGTCTTTAACCGAACCTTTGGTTCTTATAGGTCCAAAACCTTTACACCTACAGAATCTCAGAGTGCCAGACCTCATATCTAGGACGGAGCTCAAATGGAACTGGAATAGAATACGCGAGATACTGCCGATGTATGAGGAGCACATTCGCAAGTTAACTCTCTGTATAACTAGGCACTCGGATTCCATTGTGTGGCTCCCTACTAAAAATGGAGTCTATACAACAAGAAGTGGATATGGTCTTAGTACTATAGAGCCCGTCTCAGAGTCTTTTCAAGAGTTTGATTGGCAAAAGAACCTTTGGAAAATACGTACTCAACCGAAATCAAAAGTTTTCTTTGGAAAGCGGCCGTAGGAGCCTTACCGGTGGGAGAACAGTTACAAAAGCGTGGACTAGGAGGAGATATAACTTGTTGCAGATGCGGGTCCGAGGAAACTATTGAACATCTTCTCTTCCATTGCAAATGGGCTCAAGAAGCTTGGAAAATTGCTCCTTTGGAGCCGCTAAATTGGACAACTATCCACACAATGTTGGATTACTTTAAGGTTTCATGCCAAAGACCGGTACTACTGCCAATTGGGATTACATCAGCCTCTCTAGTGTCTTGGATTGTCTGGAATCTCTGGACCGCAAGAAACCAACTCCTCTTTGAGGAAATTAATCATTCACAAGAAGATGTAATAGCCAAAGCAATACGAGATGCAAAGGCGTGGCAAGTAACACAAGAGGAACTCCCGAAAAGAAGAACACTTGAACCAATACACAGCACCGCTGAGCGTCCAAGTAGCTCCACACTATGCTATACGGATGCTGCATGGCGAAAAGAAAGTGCACAAGGAGGGCTCGGGTGGTGGTTCC